CCCCCCCGCCCCCTAAAATGTCAGTGTTCTAAAAACAAAGACCTTTCATAAATCATCAAAATTAACACAAAAATCTTGCAGATTCTTTCCACCAGTTCATAGCACCAAACTCGACAATCAAAAATCATAATCCTTAACCCAAAAAAAATAAAAAATAAAAATAAAAAATACAGAATTCATCACATAGACCTAAACAAAATTCAAAAGAACACCAACCCAGAAAACAGAGTACAAAAAATTCACAAGATTAAGAAAATATACCTGCTCTGTGAAACATCATAGATCTGACCCTTGATGGCCATGAGCAAAGGCTTTTTTGGATCAGACCCATCATACAGTTTCAACTCTTCATCAGTGATTTCACCAAGCTGAACTGGAGGTGGAAGCGGCTCCATCTTCTCTTCGATCCCTCTTGAACTCAGACTTGGATGGTCATCACCAGACGACCCAAATAAACTGGACAGCGTATAGTACACAGCAAGGCCAAGAGCAATAAATGTAAAGAAAGTAGCTGGAGAGAGACCTGTATATGCTGTGATTGATTCTTTGAAGGTATCCCACAGTTGAAGAGCCATGAATTTAGGTGCGAAAAGATTGAAGAGAGGATTTTTTTGATGAAGTGAGAAGAACAAGGAGTTGGCTTTAGGAACGATGCGTTTCTTGACTCGATTTTGTATATCTACTCTATCTCTATAGTCCCCAACCCAAGGGACTGAAAAGTCGTCTGATTGGACTACTTGGCTGTTTTAGACATTTCACCATTCGGAAATAAGATATTTAAAATAAATAAAATCAGGGATAATTTTAGCAGCGATCCAAACGTTTCATTTTTTTGCACATTTTACCCTATCCTTCCCTATTTAATTTTCTACAAGTTTACTTTCTAATCTGTTGATATTTGTTGGAATCTTGTTTTAATATCGTGTGTTTTGGACCTTTTCAGTGAGGATCAGAAACCGTTTCTACTTAATTTGAAGAAGAATCTTTTTAACTGCAATTTTTCAACAAATCTGAAGTAAAAAGAAGCTTCTCTACTTTATTTTCAACAGAGTTTCACTTTTTTCTAACGATAGACTTGATGTAAGTATGCTTAAGAAGAAACAAGAGTCCCTAATTCTCACTCTACGAATTTCTAACATCATCGTCTCTCTAAAATAAGTAACCGTGGTTAAGGACTTGCTAGTTCCCAAAATCCTAACGGGTGGAATCCAATGATTCTTTGTCACTGTAGAGGATTTTCAGTGGTGGGGTGGGAAAGGGGTAGGGTAGTGGGGGGTTGGTGAAAGAGAGAAAAATAGATAGGGAGAGCCTTTTATTTTTTATGGTACTTTATATTAAAATTGTAAAGTAGCTATTTCGTCCTTTTAAAAATTGGTTAAAATTTACTATTATGGTCAATTAGCGGTTAAATGGATGGTTCCTGTCATTTGGACCTCGTGTGCTAATTTTTGAAAGGTCTGAGACTGTAGGTGACAAAAAGTGATTAGGGTAAAGTCTACAAAAAAAGTGAAAAAACTTGGAACCGCAGCTGCATTTATCCCTTAGCCTTTTGAGAATTTTAGAGAAAATGGAATTTTTT